CGCTAGCAGAGGCCGTCGAACCGAATCCTGAGGCCACCGGTGGTGCGACCTCCTTCACCGCCGACATCACGGAGTAACGGCGGCGCACCGATAACGAGGGTCGCACCTCCGCCCCCATGTCGGGCCCCGACGATGCCACCCCCTCCCCCGCCGCTTCCCCATCGCTCGTCCTCGGGGCCAGCAGGCAGCTGCGCCTCGGCTTCGAGGCTCGCACCTCCGGTGCCACCACCCCCAACGCCCCCGACCCGGGGCCAGTCGCTGCTCCAGCAGCAACAGCGCAACGGACAGATGCCCCTTGGACCCGCTGAGTTTGAGGCTCGCTTCGTGGACATGTTTCATTCGATAGCGACCTTCCCGGCGCCCGAGCCCTACCGAGGCGTCACCAAAGTCTACAACAGCAAAACCGGTGAGCCGAGCCACAGACCTTTGGGAGGACTGTTGTCATTTGCCTTGAAGAGACAGTCCTCCGAGTTCGACGTTTGATCGCTCTGGCATTACAACCCCCACCCCCCAAATGCACACACATCCACCCACCAAATCCTTTCCCCTCACTCCTATCATCTCATCTCTCTCACTCTCCCCTCGTCCCTTCGCTTATGTTTCTTTGCATTCTTTATATCTCTTCGTTCGACTCTTAAGCCCGTGAAAAAGATTTAATGTGAGATTCTTATCTTGATATGCTGGGGCCGACCGTGTGTCCATTAGTAATCTGTAGGCTATCTTTGATAATAATGGTGGCTGTGGTCTTTAATCGTAATCTTTATAAAAGATTTACTTAGTATCGAATGGGATTGCATGTCATCTTTTTTGCGATTGTAGATACTAGAAGATGCGAAAATGTATTTTGTATTCATGCATAAGATGGAAGACATGAATATGGAAATAATATTTTTTTTTAAAGGTAACCATACGAATGTGTAAATAATATTATCCATTCTCTTTCGTTATTATTGTTAATAATATTCGGTGGTTATTGAATTACAATACAAAATAGTTCCTCTAAAGACATATTGATTCGTGAATAATGTTTGTATGGATTTCACATTAAACTTTTTTGTTGCTATGCTTTTTGAAATAGTGATAAATTGCTTATGGATATAGTGGCATATGGTGTTATGATACCTGATTATATTAAGAATGCATGAACCCAACTAAAAGAAAAGAAACGGCCGTTGGACTAAAAATTTGCTACATAATAGTACTAAATATAATTTGTGGATCAATTAAATTAGCTATCCACTTCGTACCCTCGTTAGACGCGTAATATGTGTTAGATTATATACTCCATTTTCATTTTTATACACTCTTGTTGGGAAAAGGGAAAGCTTTGGATTATTCATCAATGTTATCTAGATCTAAAACCATAGAGAATGGTATTTTTCGCTTTATATAAAATCACTTCATGTAAAATAACGCTTTAAAATTTGCGTGCTTTAATTTCACTTCGAATAAGCCTTCGATATTTTTAATATTTACGAAGTGTAATATATTTTATTTATTTATTTATTTATTTATTTATTTAGTAATTTTACATAAAATTCAAATTATTGTAAATATTGCAATAATGTCGAATATAACATATAATGTCTTTATATGTTAAAAGATACAAGTACATCCCAATATTTTTGTAATTAAATTTAAAGAATAAAAATTTCAATTTTCCATTTTATTTGATGCTTTTAAAATGATCTGAAACGCTAATGGTTTAAACTAGACAACGTTTATAGGATGGTTGTTGCTCGGTTGAACTTAATTACTTAATTTATCGCAACCTCGAATTTTGTTCTCATGAGTATAAACAAAATTAAACTCTCATGTGTTTAAAAAGGAGGTTAGTAAGACAAAACAAATTTAAATAAGTCACATGCAAATAAACACTAAATACGTTCAATGTAAAAGAAAAGTTTGCTTTATCTACAGTTTTTTATATTCTCTAAATATTAAGAAAATAGTCAGTTTCAAATTTATTGTGATTGCTAAATAGCCAGTAGTTATTTTCAAATTGAATTCGTTCAAATTATTATTTATTTCATTATTCCTGACGATATTTATACTTATAATGCATATATTTAACCTCTTATTTATTTATTGTTATTATTATTATTATTATTTTTTTTTTTTTTATTATTAATTTAAAATCAAATGTAAATTTGAAAATGAGTTTTAAGTTAAATCCTCGTCACATTATTCGACTTAAAGATTTTTAGTATTTAGCGGTATGCGATACGAAATACTATGCATAATGTGATTAGTAATAAAATATAAAATTTATTTCTAACCATTTGTTACGTCGGTTATATATTTATTTATTTATTTATTTTTTTTTTTTAATTTACTTTTGCAAATTATGTATTACGTTTGTTGATTAAAAATTGATTGAAAGAGATTAAGACTATGTCGTCTTCAACTACTGTTGAAGCTCAATCGAATGTTATCAATAATACATATTGAGGAAATGTCAATGTAATTAGTTATTTTTATTCAATCTATTAAAAATGAATCAATGTATAAAATTGACAAACAACAATTCTAGCACGCGTTCGTACTTTTATTAGTGATGCAAAGAAGACTGGAAATTTAAATTAGAAAACATTTCATTTACTACGTTAGACAATCAAACGAAAGTATAAAATTATAATGCAATTTAGGTATTAAAAATAAGCCTTATAAATCTAAAAACATTTTTATTAATTTATATAGTATTGAGTCAACAATAACTGTCGTTGTAATTAATTTTCATGTTTTCATGATCATATTTTGCATAACTAACATATCAACGCTACTATGAGGTTTCTGTGTTATATGACAATTTATTTATTGTTAGTCAAATTATTAGTCTAATAAAAATGTAAATATTTAAAAAAAATTTTATAATATTTTAGTATTTGCATGTATCCAATATCCTAACATCCTTTTTTCTCTTTTTACTTCAGATCAATAACCATAATTATAATTTTAATATATTTCTATTCTAGATATTCAAGAACTGATGTAATTAACTTAAATTAATAATACAATTAAGCCTACACTGTGCGTATTAAACTATAATAACTTATTAATGCAAAGTGAATGCAATCTGTTTTCTGCAACATTGATTATTAGGATGGTTTCATGAATTTAATTAAATATTTATTTAAGATTATGATTAAGTTATGACGATTTTCTTTGTATCAAACATGATTTCACAACTATATCATATTCTTAACACTTGATTCATTAAATTATGATAATGTATTTTAAAAAGTGCATATAAAAGCACAAATATTGAAAGGAGGGGGTATATGTGCTTGGTCAACGTCCATTAATAATTAATTTCCATTTGATTGTAAATAAAAGCAGTAAAATGTGCAAGGTATGTATTTTCAAGAATCATCTGCTTCTTTTTACTACATGTAACTGCCCTTTTTTTCATGCATATAATTAATAAAATTCACCTAATTCTTACCCATTGCTGATTAGCAACTATCTAGTTTTCTCTGGGCATGAAGCGGTATTTCGCATGTTTGCATACGGAATAAAAAGATACAACATTTTTGTAGTTATGGCTTTGTGGTGTTAAAATTTTTTTTTCATTTCTTAACTATATCTTTATATCTAAATGTTCATGCATAAGTATTAAGGTTATTCTTGAAGGTGTTTTTAAAATTCAAATTACGTCGCTTAAGAAGTCGAAAAACTAAATATTTATATTATTTTTCTTTTCAAATTAAAATAATTGAAGAAAAGAATATATAAATAAGATAAATAAGATTAATAAGATATTGTACGGTGATTGAAAATTTTCATTATTATGGATAAATTCTGAAATAATGGTTTTCAATAAGTCCACTTGACAAACAATTTATTATGTTATTTTTAATTGATATGGGTTTCCTATTTATTCTGTCTATAAATATCGAAAAACTTACATAAAATTTATATAAAAAATTGTCAATTATTATAAAATGAATTGCTGTAATTTGATGAATGGCCAATTTGTAAATATTTGATAAGTAATCCGGCTGCTATACAATTAAATTTTACAAACGTCAATCAAAGGAATTTACAGTAAGCGAATGAACATTAAGGTTCAATATTTAATTATTAATATTGGTAATTAGCTATTAGTAGATATTTTTTGAAATCTCACTACGTAGATGCACAAAGACAGTTTAAGTTTCTGTTATTCAATTAAATCATAATTACTCGAAAACAAAAAGCTCATTTTTTTTTATCTCGACATATAAAACTGCAAATTATAATATCACAGCTTTTGAATATTACAAAAGTTTTTCTCATGTCGGAACTTTACTTTATACAGAGAGGTTTTTTTTTTGCGACATGAATAATGTTTTAATAAACGAGGAATGTCGAAGAAATTAAAATTTGTTAATTATAGATTATAAACTATTTTAAAAGCCAAGTATTTTCTTATCCATTTGCCAATGTGATTTCATTCGTTTTTAAATTCGGTTATGTAATCCAAATATTAGCAAAAGACTATAAATCGTACTGAAAAAAATTTTAAATTTTTGAATGAAATAGTACAATGTAATTGATATTTATTGTCCGGCTTTAAATTTATCATAGTACTCTTTTAATTTAAAACATTAAATAACTTGAAGCCTTGCATTCCTGGTTACTTTTTCGGATGAAATAATTTTGTGTACAATTCTTTCTTTAATATGCAATTAATCCTCAAATTCAACAAACTTACAATTAACAATATATGAGTCGAATTTTTAACATCGAGAAATTTGAATTGACATTATTCAATTACCCGCGAAACAAAATGGAAAACCATAAGGATCGCGCTTTCTGACAATTGACGAAAATAAGTGAGCGCCATTCGCGAGGATTTGCGCCTGAGAAATAAAGGAATAAACACGAGTTATTGTTGTTTGTTGAACAATTACAGTAGCTAAGCAACAGGCGCCCGCACCCCCGGCTCGTTCAGTTTCCAATGTTGGCAACATCACGCACTCTTTGGGCGCGAGGCAGCCGCACCAGCATCAACATCAACAGCAGCTACAACAGCAACAACAGCAGCAGCAGCAGCAACATTGGCAACAGCAGCAGAACGCCGCTTCGTCGGCCTGTTAAGAACGGCTACGCTCTTGTCTGTGCTTTCTTATTAATTGTTGGAGAAAAGATCGCCACCCGGACGATCTCCCGTCGCCTTATTTATGAACGAATAATGACTTTCAAAGAATTATAATGAAAAGCACGACAAGAGATTGAGACGACAGTCGCACATGTATGTATTATATCATTTGATGGTACATTCACACAACACACGCGGGCGCGCGCGCGCGCGCATACATTTATAAACACATATCATACATCTACATATATATATATATATATATATATATATATATATATATATATGTATATGTATGTTATGTGTGTATATATATATGCGCGTGTTGGTAAATGGATCAAAGGATTCGGATAGTGCGCGGCTAACTGTGTCTGTGCGCGTGTGCGCGTGTGCGCGTTAAGAATAAGCGAGGCGGGAAAGATTAGGCGAGGGGGCGCTCTATTGGTGTGCCTGCGGGCTTTAAAGTGACCCTTCGCACAATCGATGTTCAGAAACTATTATTGAGTTGGTACCTTCGTACCCGAACACAAAACGGAAGCTCCTTCCCACAGTTCGAGTACAGCGAGAGTTTCAATTTATGTTGTTAATGGCCAAAGGTTTTTTATTTTCTTTGTGAAGATTGAACTTGATAGTACGTTATTGTACAGCTATTTTAAATGCAGATTAATTGCCATTTGAAAACTGTAAAGCTCAATTTATTTATTTGACTATGTAGAATAAGTTATTTATTTTTGCAATCGAGGTGGATAGAATGAAAGATACAGGGACGCTTTGAAGGATAAACAAGCATTTGAAATTTACTTGTTACGTTACTCCGTTAATATCACTTGGTTTGAATGACATAATTGCTTGAGAAATAGTCAGATTTAAGTAGCTATAACTTTGTTCTTAAGTTCGTCATTGGTTTTTATGAAATTTAATACAGTGCTTCTTACTTTTCATATACGATATTTAGATTTTTTTATTTCAAAATTTAATAAATCGAATAATAATTTTGATTGAAAGAATTCTTAATTGTTCAACATTGATAATTCATTTTATATAATAAGCAATTCGTTTTATTCTCAATCTCAATGAGCTAAAGGATTTGTTAAGGATACATAAAATTAATATTAATAGATTTAATTTGTTTGAGTACAAGTTGCATTCAAAATATTTAAAAATTTGCGTTATTCATAAAAACTGAAAATTAAAATAAATTGCATTAATATCTAGAGAGATGAATAATACTTTTAGCTGTATAAATTGGAACGATACATTCATTGTTATTATATGCATAATTGTAATTGTTAGTTTGCGGGATTTTTGATGAGCATTTTATAATTTGAGCAGTGGTTGCTTGAAATTATGGGTTTTATCAAACGAGAGTGAAGATAAATTAAACATTCAAATTAAATATCCTTATCTCTGTTAATACTTAAAATTCAATTAACGTTGTTGAATTTCCTATAAGGGAGAAGAAAAAAACTTTTTAAATATAATGCAATTTTAGAAAATTGAATAGTTATCTTTAAACTACATAATTGTCGTGTTTATTTCTTTCGTAAACATTTTAAAAATCAATATAAAGAAATATAATTTCTGTTATAAACTTAAAGAATAATAAAGTCGATAGTTTCTCATATATGCAAAAGTATAAAAAATATTAATAGTGCACATTAATAACGTCAAATAATGCTTTGAACAAGATTAGTTAACATTTTTCTATTTTACAAACAATACTCTTTTTAAATTGATTGAATTTAATATGCATGCAGATAATTAATTATAAATTGTAATAATTTCAATTTAAATGTACATATAAATTTAAATTGATATCACTTTATGTAAGTCCAATGCTGTACTACAGAAATACATAAAATAGTAATATTAGAACATTAATAATAACTTTAACATATTGAGATTAAGAAATAATGAATTCATATTAAATCAAAATCTATTCGTGCTTGACAATAAATTAACGCTGATAACTAAATATAATTCTATCTAATAAATAATTATAATATAAATTTACATATGCTTTTATGAAACACAATTATCAATGATTTTGAAATAAGATAAAATTTGTTTAAAACGGACACATTATTGAAAAGCCATATGATAATTTCCAGCTAATACAATGTAATAAATAGTTTAATAATTTAATTGATACGCCCAGTAATATTTTGATTTTTCAATTATTATCCAAGAGAACTTAAGTTATTCCGAATAATCGTATCATATATATATGTATATAGATGCATGCATGTACATATAATATGATCATATGAATAAATAAATTTATGGTTCAGTAAATTAAACAATCAAAAAGTTAAATTATTATTTTAATTGGCAAAAGTTAAATCTATTCATAAGTTAGAATAGTTGAAGTTAGGAAAAATAAATTGTTTTATAATAATGTTGAAGGAAATATGTATTAAAAAAGTTAATGTTAGACATGTCAAAATTGAAGAAAGTTAACGTTGATTAGTAAAAATAATGCTGCACAATTGAATAGAACACGTAATTAAGCTTAATAGAATTATGACACTAATAATATATTTAAGATAATCAGATTTATTTATGTCTAACTTCACTCTTCACAAGTAATACTTGGGCTGTACTAACACAAAGATTGCAACTTTTGCTTAATGAAATACAACTGGAAAATAACGAATAATGTAACGTATGCGTCGGGATGCATAGAGGAAATTAAAATATTCTGGTCCTTATAAACTGGAATAATAATTAGTCAACAGTTTTTGTTAAATGTAATATTTTCCAAGTTACTAAATTCATCTACGAGTCACCTAATTTTTCAAAGTATTTTTTTATGCATTATTTGAAGGCATATTATTTATATTGTTTAACTAATACGTCAAATTAACATTATTATTATTATTATTATATATATATATATATATATATATATATATATGTATATATAAAAATTAACATTAGTAATAAATTTGTATTGAGTTATAATTATGGAAGGACTAAGGACTAAATAATCAACCATATGATAATATAATATTTTTGTCGTGGATACTAATAATGTGCTAGTAACTAAAAGTAAATATGAGATTGCAGTGCGATCGCAAATTTTTCGAAAAATAGGTGAACTCTATTAAAACAAAAATATATAAAATGTTTTTTAAACAACATATTTTATTTTGTAAAAAAAAAAGTGTAAGTAATGCGTTTCGAAAGATGTTTGTTCAAAGAAATAATTTATAAAAATCGCGTAAAATATTTGGTTAGTTTGCTCTTAGATGTTTGTTTTCTAAAACAAGAAAGATCTAATATAATTAATAATATTAATCTTTCGAATAAGTAAATTGTGATAATCTTCCTTTTAACAATATTATCTAAGTTTTATTTTTCATTATATCTTCAATAATTATGTATAGTGAAAACTGTAAATATTACATATCACAGAAGAAACTTATTAATAATCTATTTAAGGAAGTAAGGGAACAGTTTGAAAGATCATCACAATTTTATTAATAATTTGTCGATTCTGTACCTAAAAATTATCTGTAAGAAATATATAAATACTTGTAAAAAGTAAGTTTTCTTTTATCAGAACTGCCAGCGAATTATGAAATACGCGTTTGTTTTGTAAAGACTCTAATGTCTAATAGATTTTTTTAAATTTTTCTCACTCTTCTTTTTATTTGTTTTTTTTTTTTTTTTTTTTTTTTTTTTTTTTTTTTGTTATGTTTTTATCAAATCATTACGATATCAGTGCTTTGTGATAGAAGAAAGATTTACAGTAATTATATTAGAGTCGTAAACAATATGGTTTAAAATTTATTTTTGTTTATCTTTTCTTTTATAATATAAAGCGTCACGAATGGCGGGAAAATTTTTTCCTCATAAAGAATTCTTCAATTAAATTATAAATGAAAATTGTACTGTTTAAAAAAATTTGTCTGGCATCGCTGATAGCATTTACACGAGAGTATATTAGCAGAGCTAGAAAAAAGATTTTTCCTATGGAAAGCTTATTATCTAAACGTTAGAACACAGCAAAAAATATATTGCAATAAAAAGTTCGTAAAATATAATCACCAATAACGATGATAAATATGCAGTTAAAAACTAAATAAATAAATAAAATAATAACTGCTGCGATTATTTTTGTTAAACTAGAGCACGGAGGGAGCATTAATAATATTTAAATGTTTATTGCAAATAATGGGTTTATAGTAAATAATTGTAGTTAGCTTAGTGAAAGGGGATGATAGTAAATTTTCGTTTTAAGCGCAAAATACAAATATCGTACAAAATTTTATTCCAACATTTAATTAATTCCTATATAGTCAAAATCTTTTTTCTGATGCTGTGGAGAGTAGGGCTTAAACGATCGCATGACGTTGTGATGCACTACTTCTTCGCAGATCCTACGAGTGCGTACAAAATGAAAAGCAAACTAATACTGATATATGACGATACATATTGAATGTATGTGCATAAATAATTATCTTGTAATATTGTTGAAAATATAGTAATTACATATTTTAAAATTAAGCGTAAAATTTTAAATTAAAAGAAAAAGACTCGGAACACAATACATAGTAATAATCGATTTTTATTAAATTAAACGTACAGAAAACGAATGTATCAAGACAGCGGCGTGACGAATTCTCACATTTCGAGCTCCTTTTCTATAATTTGACGATATTCGTCAAAACCTCCTTCGATACATTTTACAGAGCCTCCACCACACACCCATAACTCCTGACAAACCATTCGAATGAGTCTTTCGTCGTGAGAAACCAAAATTACGCCAGCCTGAAAGCAAATTGATACTTGAGTCTTTTAAATCGGAAATTTCAGTTCTGATTCTTCGCTTTATTTCCCAACAATCCTTGAAAATACTTTGGTCGCACTTTTTATAAGCTTTTAAATTTAAATGAACAAATTGAAATTATTCTATCAAGTCTTAATGAACTGATGATAAGTTTTAAGGGAGGGGGGGGGGGATATAGAGATTAAAACTTACTTGACAGCAATTAATAGCTTTGCCCAGAGCTTCAATTGATTCAATGTCAAGATGATTCGTAGGCTCGTCCAATACTAGAAAATTAGGCATAGCAGCGCACATCAGTGCAAAGGCAACTCTCGATTTTTGACCTCCTGATAACGAATGAATTGTTTGTAGCGCTAAATCTCCACTAATACCAAAACTGCCCAACATCCTCCGATACTCTTCAATGGGTTTACCTAAGTAAAATCAGAAAAGTAAGTACATCCATATATATATATATATATATATATATATATATATATATATATATATGGATACATCAATATTTAGCTTGCAAGAAATTTAACAAATTCTTACATTTATTAAGCTATGAAATTCAAAATGCAGTTGTTTTTAATTCGATATCCCCTGATGTCTCTATTTCATTAACGAGCAAGTTACTTTAATAGTTTAAAGTAGAGGAAAACAATACGATCGCACTAACTAAAAACAGCTGAACTGAATAAACTTGTGATGCAACGAACAAAGAATAATATGAAATTCCGAGATATTAAAAGCTCGTTTCGTACAATTCAAAGGTATTCAAATTTCTTTAAGAATCGCGCTTTTCGCGCGATATTCATTCATAACAGATCGAGACATTACAAATATTTTGCTATCATCGCCTGAAATGATCTTTGAAACGCGTTAGAAAAGTCAACGTAGAATTATTATTAATGTCTTTTGCATCATTCTTCTTTCATTAGCCTATAATATAGATCCTCGTAATATGAAGCTTTGAGCGAAGAATGTTAATTAGTTAAAACTAATTGGTTTTTACGATCGGAGGATATAAGGTAGAACTTACGTTTTTTTCTTTTGTTTTCTTAATTGGTACATACACGGCATAAAGACTCTTTGCGCTTAAGTCGCCGGTTGGGGCTGAAATTCGCGTCTCCTCACTTCTACGACGTGGACAAATAATGAAAAAGGAAGAGAAGAAAATCCACGGCAAAGAGATAGCTGGGAAGAGGGCCGTAATGAGAAGCTACTCACCTGGGAAATGGTTCTGGAGCAGCTCGACGGGGCAGACTCGGAGGTCGAGCTGGTCAACATGGTGCTGACTGAAGTAACCGAACTTGAGATTCCGGTGGGTGTGCACGGTGCCCTGGGTAGGTCCGAGCGAGCCCGTCATTATCTTAAGGAGGGTCGTCTTACCGGCGCCGTTTTCACCTACGATGCAGATGCGCGACTGCAGGGTCGCACTCAGGCAGACGTTGGTGAAGAGGTACTCGCTGGTATTTGTGTAGCGGAACGAGACCTCGTTTATTTGAAGTATCGGTGGATTAAGGGGCTCGACATCCGGGAAGTGGAGCGTCACCTCGTTCTCCTTCTCCATGGGCCTGAGCTCGGGCCTACGGAATTCCACAAAGCGTTAGTGGGTGATGGCGCGCGCGTGCACGCCTCTCATACGTGTCCCGAGAGTCAAAAATACTCACAGCTTCTCGAGCATCTTTATTTTGCTTTGCACGCTCGAGGCCCGATTGGCGTTGTAGCGAAACCGATCGATAAATTCCTGGACGTGGGCACGTTTCGCCTGCTGGGCCTCGTACTCGCGCTGTTGGTTCCTCTCGCGCTCACCTTTCGTCTTGGCGAACTGCTCGTAGTTGCCGTGGTAGGATTCGATCTTCTGGGCTTTTAGATACAGTATGTCGGTAGGTACCTGATTCGACAAATATCAAAAGTTCGGAATTGAGTCGTCAACCTGCGACGATTGGGCGCGCTATATACAAGGCAATCGGTAAATAATATGATCGCTCGTGTTACGAGTGAATGGAGAGCCGAAGCCGTTTTGATGTCATTTTAACGGTATTTCGAAGCGAATTTAGCGATATCGTGCTTACAATCACGCTTACGTGTCTTTCCTTACGCTCGTGCTGGCGAGGTGTAAGCTGCGAGCCTAAGATTTATTAAGAGTGCAAATGTTGCAGATGCACATTTCATCGCTTCTGTTGTTGCAACGCGCTAACCCGAAGTATGGGATAGGCTCTCTTCATTGCCAAACGTGCACTTTCAAATTAAGCGCATAAATTATATCTAAATAAAAGGCACGCTGGTTTAATTTTAGATAAATTAAGGCGGTAGTAAATGGCTTAGTAAATTCGCGAATGAAGATTCGTAGAGTAAAATAAAAGGAATGAAAAAGAATGAAAAGACAAGGTATGGGCGCGATGCGCGATCGGAGGGTCGGACAATGGCACATCCGGTTAATTTATAGATATGTCGTGGTCAGGGCGGGCATCGACGTTCATCATCGAGAGCTCGATGATGAGCACTACGGGCGCAATGGCAACGAAACAAGGCGTGTAATTGTAACTCACGGTGTCGAGGAAGTTGCGATCGTGGGAGACGACAAGGAGCGTCGGGGGCCAAGACTGCAGGTACCTCTCGAGCCAGAGTATGGCCTTGATGTCGAGCATGTTCGTGGGCTCGTCGAGGAGGAGGAGGTCGGGCCTGGAGAAGAGCGCCCGAGCAAGTGCGAGTCTCATGCGCCAGCCGCCGGAGAAGGCCTTCGTGGGCCAGCTCTGCCGCTCCACAGAGAAGCCAAGACCGGAGAGGATCGTGCTCGCCTTGGCCGGGGCCTTCTCCACTTCCGCCATCTGCATCGCCTCGAACACCTTCGCTGCGCGCACGTCAAAGAAAAAAAAAAAGCCGGATTTAATGAGCGGGCCCTAATGCCCTCGGATGACCTACGCGCTCACCATTCTAAATCGTCGATTATATTGGCTTTCTATGGGGTCCCGTTATGGTATAGATCAAGGCCTTTTAGAAGGGCTCGTTGAGAATGAAGGGGCATTATTGGGAATCATCGGGCAGCGCTCGCGAAATCCGAGTATTTGCACATTACTTTAGTTTGCGAGGGTATAAAAATTTGTATTTGACGAAGAGGAATTTAAAAGCGCTAATTATAGGCCTTTATCGTGAAATTTTCCGATTTATTTATTTTATGAGATTAATGTATACAAGCCTCTCTCTCTCTCTCTCTCTCTCTCTCTCTCTCTCTCCACTTATTTATCTTAAAAATTTTGTCTCGATAAGTTTGACTAAAAATTCATGGCTTTAAAAATAATTTACTTATTTTTTTACGTTGTTTAACTATAAAATGCTATAGCATGCTCTTTCGTGCTGATTAAATTTTTATTGCATAAAAGTGGTTTGATTATTTTATTCATAAATTATCGTAAATGTTTATCTTTGTGTACAATTGCATACTCATGAGTCGTATATCGTATAATATATATCGAACACACAGTCAAATTTTCGTTTACGACGAAACTTTTATTACTTACGTGATCGATCTCTTGGTAACATTTATTACTTACGACCGTTTATTATAGTTATATAGCATATATTTTCTATCGAACAGAATTCTTATTGAATTATAACTAGAAATTAAACTAAAGTATAGCCTTGCTATTATAGTATATGAAATCTTTTGCGATTGACTTTTTTTTTCATATTAAAATCGTATTTATCATTCGTATTCATCATATTAATTTCGTATTTACATTGTATTCCTAGTGTTAAATTTCTATTTAACCAATAATTAAATGGACAATATATTTTATTTTATTTCAAAGTAAAACAGCATTTTAATTATAATATGATTGATTCTTCTATTATTTCTTATATTTTCTTTAATGATGATGTATTCTAAAAAAGTGAACATGAAATGGATTAAAAGTACGCCTTTAACAACTAATTGACGGACTCTATAAAATTTTGATCATTATTCAATATTTTTTAAAAACTTTAAAGTTTTAAGAAGTCAATTATCAAATGTCGAATTTTATTTTCAAAATAAAAAAAAGAACCACTATTTAAATTTTATAACCATCTCTAATTGAAATCGAATAAACGAATCGATAAATTAATCATAGAATAGCAGATATTTTTATTGATAATATAGCATTATAAAAAAAAGTTTTTTGTACTAATACCATAGCCATAGACACCACAATATATTTCTAAAGTATTGGAATATTTATTTAAATGGTTTCGCTTATTTGTATTAAATTCTTAAACTTTAAAAGTACTTTTTTAAAAACATATTGAGGGACTGTAAAAAAATTGTTTTAATCGTAAATTTTGTTGAATAAGAATGATACTAAGCCGTTACATTTATTAAATAAAAAATAAAAATCTACGTGTAGAATAAATTTCATAAATACTTAAAATTCAATCTCTAAAAATAATCAATGAAAAACATTAAATTTTATATAATAAAAATATGCATAAAATTATTTTATCACTATCTGTAAAGTTGTTCAGCAATTAAATAAAAATAAAAATAAAAATAGAATGACAGTTTAGATAAACAAGAGAGTTAGTTGCAAACTTATGGAACGTTTATGATAATATAAACAACAACATCAGCAGCCACGAAAATAATAATAAAGATACTTATATATACATATTTAACTTTTACGATAAAAAGTTCTCATAATCACCTAATTCCTCATCCAAAGCATCATTCGCCTTCCCGCTTTCCCTTTCGATTGCCGCTTGCAATTCCGCTTCCCGACTCAATAATTCGCTGCGCTCTTGATCAGATTGCAAAACTGATTCAAGAGCGGAAGTATCGTCTCCGGCAACTTCCTGCTCGACGTGCAGAACCCGCACATGCGAAGGTATTTGCAATTGTTTGCTAAGTAAAGAACAAAACATATCAATATTATATTTAGCGGATGTACTCTTCCAATTTAAAAATATTGCATTAAATTTTATTTTCTTGGCCAGATTTTAGCTTAATTACTTTTCATTGACAATATAATGGTTATTCTTAATTTCAAATTAATTTTTCTTTTTATTAGTTCAGATTTCTCGTATTAAAAAGGCATTCAAAGCCATATTTATTCAATACATGTTAAGTAAAAATTATGTAAAACAAAATATTATTTTAAACATTTCTGCAATTGTTTAATAGGCCAAAATATAACTATCATGAATAAAATTGTTTTATTTACATTTTATGAAAATTAAATGTCTTTTATAAATTTGTTTAATATAATAATGAAATTTAATTATATTTACCCAGATATCATTCGGAGTAGCGTAGTTTTTCCAAGTCCATTACGTCCCACTAATCCATAACGTCTGCCAAAAGCCAATGTCAAATCAGCACCTTGTAAAAGAACTCTATCTCCGTACGCAACATCAAAATTTTCTATCCTAATATCATTTGTTCTATTTGTTCCACCTTTTGCTTCAATTTTATTGTCCTTTTTACTTATTACTTGGCTAACTGTTGCGGTTTCTAACGAGGGCAGAGCATTACTGTTTTTTCCAGAACCTAATTCGTTACTTCTAATCTCTTGTTTTTGCTTGAGTTTGGCTTCTGCTTTTTCTAATTTTTTTGCATCTACTTTCTAAAAAAAGATCAGAAAATGTAATATACACAATAAATATGAAGTTTATATATGATAGAATGAAGCACTTAAATGTATAACAATTTGATTACATAGAAAGTGTCAAATTAATTTTCACTTTCTAATTAAATTTTTCAAATATCTCTGTATTTAAGTGAATTTGTTAAATCTAATAGAATTTCCATTTTTAGTACTGTACTATCTATTAATATTACATAATAATGATAATATAATAACACTGTTAGTAGTAAACAATTTGTGGATTTTTGCAAAGTACTAATTGGTATTAAGCATTTCTTGCAAATTTACCATTGCATCATCTCTTGTTGTAACCCATATACTTTTTATTTGATCAACTTGTCCGTCTAAAGTCGAAACCATTGATCCCATATGAATTGGTACATTTAATACTTTATTTACTCCGTTTTTTCTTCTTTCTATTCCTCCATTGGTACCACCCTTTAACATTTCTAGTAATCTTCTGCATATTTGCCTACGTAAACAAATAAATATAAAAATTTTATTCTTATGAAAATACTCTCGTTTATTAATGTGGTATAATTAATTGGCTGGAATGCAAATTTACTTACCTAACCTCGTTTTCAGACTTTTGCTCAACCTCGTGTAAAACCTCGCCTATTGCTTCATAAACTTCGTCTGCATCTTCAAAATCGTCCTTAGAACTATCGAGTATACCTAGAGTAATATACACATTCACATAAAATGACGAGAAACGTATATTTAATAGAAACATATACTCGCATATGCAGAAATTTATATGAACTATGTATACATATACATGCGTACAGATGTTTTACCTCAAGTTGCATGCAAAAAAACTTAGAATTCAATCTTTCGAATTTGGAAATTATGTTCCGCAGGTAAAAATAAATTTTGCATAAGTTTTCGACAGTACAATAGGACGAAGACAATAATTTGCATAAAGAGAGCGTAAAGTATCGTAAGAGATGAATTACAAAATTTCAAAGTATTTGCAAACACAAAGCGATCCTGCAGACCCACAATATCGCAAAATCTTTATTATTTGCCTGCATTGCAATTTACAGGGCGATGAACGTTAAATGTCGCGAATGCAAATTCAGGGCTTCACGAGCAACAACACGATTATTAAAGTTAAAAAACTAGAACAACTTGATTACTGACTAATTTTGAGGTTAAACTTACCCTCGACATACTGGTACAATTCATCGTCGATCGTCGGAAACAGACTCCTGATGTAGCTGCTACACACTGCCATCACAAAAGGGGAAAGCCAAAGTATTTCGCGATAAGCACGAAATTACGAAACCGTTTCTCCCTTTGGAAAATCTCCTCGCGGTGTACCTCCACGACGGTGGAGAGCAAATGTCAAAAAACTCGGACGGTACGCCTCCCGAGTGCTAAGCTTTTTTCTCCCTCTCTTTCTCCCAACTCTCTAATTCCGCACGCTTTACACCGAAAAATTTCAAGTATCCACAGCGCGAATCTTCTCGATTAATAATTATGACACAATGTTTTTCTCTTACGTTCATTCGATCAATAATATTAACGGCCAAGTGAATTTCTCCATCTGTTACATGCTTACGATATTAATTTTGTTTTATTATTTATTTTATTAATTACATAGAAAGGTTATTAAATTATCTACGTTTCACGCATCTCATATTACTACTAAGCTCTCTTAAAGTGCGCTGCTGCGTGTAAAACGAAGCTAAAAATTTTAGAATAGCATATGTTCGTTCCACTTTCTTTAATCATTCCTTCCACGCTTTTGTATCCCATTCGAAGTCTTTTAAACATATAGTAAATTATCGAAATATTTATAATTCAACTTCAGCGTGAGTTCAGTGGCCACATTAATTTTGCACATGTACGCGCGCGCCTGTATCGTCAATTTAAAAATAACGATACGTTTGTTCGTTTAACTAATTTAAATTTATGTCCCGGTATGCTTATTGAAGGTGCACCGTTGTATCAACAACAAAAAATATGTAAAGCCAAGCCGCGTACCTCAACAGGAATATCCGATGCCAAGATTATGGGATAATCAACGCGATTCATTCATCATCTCTCCGACTCCGGTCCACTTCTGCATACTCTCTTTTCCCTTTATTGCCGTTTTATTCGCTCGTTCTATCTCTGTCTCTCATCCCCTCTCGCCCCCCCCCCCCCCCCCCCCCCCCCCCCCCCC